CGCTGATAAGCGTCTAGCAGCTAGTGAATGATAATGTAAAGGGCAAGATGGCACTAGCGCTGTCCAGGATACGCCAGCGCTAGTGGATAGCACGCCACCGGTTACCGATTTCGTGGAGAAACTGTCAATCTAGCTAGCATGAGGAATGAAATATCATATATTTGTCATCGCATATAACATCTAAGGAATGAGATCAGACCAATTATTGGGTCCCTGAATAAGAGCGCTAAGAGTTTGGAAAGAGCAACTGCTGAATGAACGCTGAGCACCTTAGATCCAGAACTGTAATCTGATCTCATGGGGAACTCATTGAGCAGCTGTTAAGAGGAGTGATGATCGGAATGCTGATCAGGGGATGAACGCTAATGCGTAGAGATCCAGCTTGGGAACTCAAGGGATTTCTGGGCTGAGTCTACCTACTTGGTGGATAGCTAGGGTACCGATTGTACCTGCTTGGATATGGTGTCGGTGGGGTTGTTGGTCATGGCCCATGCCGGCTCACCATGGTTAGCGAGTGTCTTCGTCTTGTCCCGTCCGAGAACTTAGAATCCTAAACCCTTCGTTAACCGCGGGAATGTGTTCTTGTTGTGCCACAATAGGTACGCTAATGACAATACTAGACATAAAAAATGCCGAGTAAAGGTTCACGTGACGTATTTACGTAGTGGCCATAGAAGCTAAGATAAATGATGTATGAATGTTCCGGGAGGCCGTAGAAACTACGATACATAATGTATAATGCTCCGGGAGGCCGTAGAAAATATGATATGCTTCGGGAGGCCGTAGAAACTACAATACATAATGTATGAATGCTCCGAGAGGCCGTATAAACCAATGATAATTATGGATGAATGCTCCGGGAGGCCGTGGTAAGAAACATGTTATAAATGAAAATAAATGAATGGTGATATGACCAAGATGGAGATGTCATATATTCGACATCCTTGAGCATCAATGTGGGGTCAAGGCTATAAAACGTCTTAGTACATAATTCATGTAAAACGTTACCTCGGTAGAAGTAAGGTTTAAGAAATTTAAACTGCTATGTGGTTAGTTGTGATATTGTGCTGCTGAAAGGCACAATTAATGTTTAGATAGTTGCACTATAGACTTCATAAGTGTCAGACGGGTCGTCAGATGACACAGGCCTTTGGATAAGGTTGTGTAGTTGTGCTGGTAATTAAAATTATTGAGGTTGAATAATATACCAAGGATTGTTAATGGCTAGAGGTCTGGTTTCAGCGTCTCTAATTGTGGTTGTGATCAAGCCAGCCTTGCTTGCGCTTATGATTTAGGCTGCGGTTTGGTTTCCGTAAGCTGCCCTTTGGGCTCGTACATCTAAGTAAGAAGTCAGTTGAAATGGAGATGAAGGCATTGTTTCGCTTCTTTAAGCTTTGTCTGCTTCGATTTCAGGAGCTCTGGGAACGTACCTACTGCCTCCCAAGGCGTCGGTTTACCAGCCGATTGACCTGGGCTTCATAACTTCGTCCTCCGCGAGGCCCCTGAATACGTCTAGACTTTTTCCTATAAGCGTGACGCAAGCCTCCGCCATTGGTCCTTCTACAGCGAGTTTCTGCATAAGTTCGTTAGATGGTTCCCTTTGCTTGGCGTTTACTGAAGAAAAACAGGAAGCTTCTTATATTTCTCCTGTCACCAGAGCTACTGTTCCGGGAGTAGTACGCTGAGTTCGTTGTCAACGCTAACCTGTAACAGCTTGCGTAAATGCCATACCTCTGATGAGGACTGTGAATGTGCCCTACCTTCTGGCGACGCTGATTCAAGCTAAACCAGCTAGTCTTATACGCTCAGGAAGTTCCTGTGCTGGGAGAATGGTTATCAGCGTGATTAGCGTGGTTATGGTGCTTGATAGCGTGAGGTATGTTGTTAATATGGGGTAGACGTAGATGTAGCTCGCGCTGATCGCCACTTTAGCGTTGCTGGGTCTGAGAATGACCGTGATGCATACCGCCTCGTCCGTTTGGGTACCTCTAACTGGCGTTAGCGTGAGGAGCGTGGGGGCAGTCGTTCTTATGCGAGACGATGTTAACACCTCCAAAGCCCGTAGATAGGGCTAAGACGCGTCTTGGGGCACGGTTCTCTCAACTATACTAAGCGGCATACTAGCTCCTATACGGGTACCTTCTATTTCTCAACGATTCCCTCGTCCCAAAAATTTCGGCGCATCCTACTTCCTATGCAGAGGATGCCGTACCCTATCCTTATTAGTTAAGAGCCATGAATGTTTACTTTCACTAAAATCACTGGGGCTTTGGCATAGTTGTCTTCTCAGACTTCTCCTTCGTGGACACTAAAACTTAGCGTAGTTGCTATCTTTCTTCTTAGCGTCGTTTTTCTTCCAACGCTTTCTTGTCCTTTCCTTCAGGCTCGAAGGTTACGGGGCTTTGTTTGCTCCTGGCATAACCTAGATAACCACGGATGTCATATTTGGGTGCTTCCCTTCTCTTGACAATTTCGCGGTATAGGTGGGACTCTCCTAATAGCTTGAGCTACTCCTTGATAATATATCCGAGCGTTGATCAAAAGGGGTTCTGCACTAACTGCGATAATTTCTTGAACGAATAGGGGTTTGAGCGACTATTCGCAGTAAGAAACAATGAAAGATAAAGAAAAGGAAATAAGTAAATCGCGATTTGAGGGAGTTCATGAAATGATGTATGGGCCCGGGTAGTATATATATACAGGAGGTGACCATTGACTTTAACTTAAAACTTTCTCGGGTTCATGGAACCTTTGACCAGAATGACTAGGCATCTCCTGAGACATGCTTAGCATTAGAGTTCCCTACATCCTCTGCAGTCTCTGCCATCTCTCTCATCTCCACATGCTCTGCGGCGTCCCTCGTCGCTGTATTCTCTACTGCCCCTGTCTGCATAGAAGCCTGTACTGTTTGTTCTAGGCACGCGTAACGTGCAGCAAGTTGAGAATTGTAACGACAGAGGATGTCGTATTTAATCGGAAATGAGACCTCTAGAGTTGGAGTGAAAAGGGAAAGAAAGGAGGATGTAAATATAAGCTCACGAGGGGGGCAGCTGAGAAACTCACCTGAAAATAGACGTGTCCCAGTGGGAAAGCTGCTTTGGCTATGCAAAATATGAGCTTTTGAATAATAAAAGATTTGGACACTCACTTGTTGTCATTCATGATACCAGGGAGAGGGCAAAGGGCGGGAAAAAGAGGGTTGGGAGAAGAGTCGGGGGTGAGAGGGTCGGGTGATGTAGCTCGGTCATTGCCGGATGTGGGGATACCCGTGGTTGAGATCTCGTGCTGTCCTGTGACCCTATGTGACGTGTTCTGAATATTTTTGAGGGACGTACCCTTTTTGGGTTGAGATTCCATCACGTGATATAGGGCTTGTGACCGATGGTGAATATTTTTGACAGACCTACCATTTTTGGCTGCGAAATATATTATATAAGCCAAGAATATTCCAAAAAAAACCCCTCAATGCACAGGGCTTGCACTCCGTCATCAGGTATATATATACTTAATATAAAACCCCACTGGGTTGAAACGCCTGTGGTATTGCTATTCCGGATGTGATGAAACCTCACCGGTATAGATATGTTTGGACGGAATCGCCTCAGGAGTCTAGAAGTAGTACAACTACCACTAGGCTTGGTAGCCAGTTTACCAAACTGCCGTGCCATACTGGACGGCTCCTGTCTGGAAAATGAAATAAATAAGAAAGTAAAAAGGGATCCAACATAAAAAGGATAACTAAGGAGTTCCGCGAATGGGTAGTCTTGGATTCGAACCAAGAGCTCTTGCGAGCTGTAACAGTCTCAAAAGAGGGCATTACCACTATGCCATACTACCATGGCTGAAAGGAGGGCTGCCCTTAGTTTGACCAAGCGTAATTAGCTGTGACAAGCTTTCGCCACTGGAACAGAAGGCCAACGGAAACAAAAGCAGTCCAAAACCAGAAAGAGAAGTCCAAAGGAAGAACAGATATCTGAGGAAATCTGACAGATAAAACAAAAATCTAGAGAACTTCCACAAATGAGTAGTCCTGGATTTGAACCAAGGGACTCTTGCAAGACGTGGGAATCTCAAAAGAGGGCATTGCCACTATGCCAAACTACCATGATGGATAGGGAGCTTATCTTTAGGTTGACCAGACGCATTCAGCTGTGGCAAACCTTTTGCCACCGGCCTAAAAGTAAAACATAGAAGAAAAGTCTGGAGGATAAAAAGATCATCAAAGAGTTTGCAAATGAGCAGTTCTTGGATTTGAACCAAGAGCTCTTGCGAGGTGTTTAGACCCTCGAAAGATGGCTTTACCACTGTGCTGTACTACTGTGCTGGACAAGGAGGTAGCTTTTACTTTGTTCACTAAAAAGGGGCTGTGGCGAACATTTGCCACGTGACTGAGAATTCTGCCTCTTCCGGTGGATGAAAAAGCACCAACTTCTTCAGGAAGCATGGAGCAGCCCTGGATTTGAATCAGGCACTGTCTCATGGTGCAGTACGCTAGAGACAGGGCACTAACCACTGTGCCAAACTGCCCATGATGGAGGGGAGAATGTGGGCCTCTTGAGCAAATAAATGGTGAGGGTGTTAGGCAAGAAACAACCTCCGATGGGCCCTAGAAAGTTCAAAAGGGTTTTGCTACCTCCAGAAGGAAAGGTGAGTGTCAAATGGCCTGAACCATTGGCAGCTTTGGAGTTGAACCAAAGACTCTTTCGAGGCATCAGCCACAAGAAGAAAGGGTACTAACCACTGCACCATACTGCCATGGTTGGGAGTCCAATCTGGTCTTGTTAGCTGGCAGAGGTTTCAGGACCTCTTCCGCCGGAAAAACAAGAAGTCCCAGAACTGTTGGACCCCCCAAAACAGAGAAAAACAGAACAGATAAAAAGTTGTACCTGTTCTATGGACAGCTTTGGAATCGAACTAAGGACCCTTTCGGGGTATGACACACAAAAGAGGATGCTAGTCACTGCACCATACTGCCGCGACTGGGGAATGAATCCATTTTTGTTAGCTGACAGAGAATGTCTTCCACGGGAAATAAGGGAGCACCGTTTGACCTTTGGAAGAAAAACTCAGAAGATAAAGAGCTTTTAAGGACAACCTTGGATTCAAACCAAGAACCTCATCCTTCATAGCCAAGGGGGGTAACCAATTGAAATGAGGTGGTGACCACTACACCATATTGCCCGTGCTGAACCAGACAATGTCAGTTTGTTTGAGCAAAAACGGAAAGGTAGTGGGAAACGTGACCAGAAGAGTTGATTACGAAAGAACAATTGCACAAAAATTTCCATATTTGGAGCATGCTACATACAGATGCATCTAATGAACTAAGAGAACGCCTGTAAGGGCAACTCCTGACAAGTGAGGAATACACTCAACAACTGCAGGAGGGGATCCAAAGGGAATATATAATGAGCTAAATACAGAACAAACAAGTAGGTACTCACCTGCAGGAGGGGATCCAAAGAGAAAAGACTCAAGGGACTCTCCTGCAGAATGTGACATATATATATACAAGGCTGTGAGAATCAATGACTAATACTATACAGCTGAAGGTAAAGTCACACTGAGACTCAGTGTCACAAGTCATGTGATGTAGTCTCAGTGTCACATCACTCTAAGTCTCACATGACTAGTGTGACACAAGTGATGACCAGTGAGAAAGCAATAAGGAAACTAAAGAAAGAGAGACCAAACTGATAGTCTGGGGATATGAAGTACTCTGAAAAGGGGGGGGGGGTAAACATAAATAAAGAATGAACAAAGATGAGAAAGATGTAAACAATGAACAAAGAGACTGTCCCCTTACAACGCCCAGCTCCTTCGGATAGACACAGAGATCTGCCAATGGATGCAAAGTCAGAAAATAGTCAGAACTGACTAGCCAGAAAGAACTCACTTATCGGTAAACTAGTCCTGCTGGGTCTGGGAGGTTTCCTCGAAAACAGTGTCGTCAACACTTTTATCCTGATCTGGGTCTTGAGAACTTTCGACGGAAGTGCCAGTGGCAGCAGTATTGCCAGCCTAGAGTGTAGCACGAATGGGCAAAACTCGTGAATGCTCGTGAGGACACCCGTGGGAAACTCGTGGGAAACTCGTACTCGTGAGTGCCACAGATTTATCTGAGTATTTCCACACGAGTACGAGTTTGGCCTTAGGAACAGATGAAAACTTGCACAAGTACTCGTGGGTACTCATGGATATTCAGTGGAGTTTCACTACATATACAGGCAATAAAGGTAAAGTACTATATAACTATATACCTGTCACTAGATGTGAGACAAGAGACTCTGATCTACCACCAGTGACTACTGTTGTTTTCAGGCTTGTTTTTTTCCTATAAACAATGTTTATGGACCTACCAGTTGGGATCCCAATGTTCAAGCATTGGCAGTCAGTCAGGAAACACTTAAGGGTGCTGATGGTAGTGAGTAAAGTACTAAGTTCTGACTTTCCTTTATTCACTGATTCATTTTCATGTAACAGTATAGACTGTAAATTAGCAGTTGAACATAAATTAGATTACTGTATATTAGTATAGAAGTACATGTAGGTGGCCTATAATTTAAAACATTATTCAACTATCAATCCAAGGACTGCAAAATCTTACTGGCATCTTATTTGTGTACCCAAGAGTAACACAGATGCCAACATGGAATCTCTCAGAAGAGATTCAGCTTACTTACTTATCTTATTTAAGTAGATTGCAAAATGAACCAGCTCTTGACTAAAAAGAGATTTCAGAGTAAGTAGGGTCAGTAATTGACTAGCAGCTCTCACTCAATTGGATCATTGATGGAAGATTAAATGTCATGTAATAAATTGAGCACTTTCTGTAATAGACTCACAAGTAACTCGTGAGTATTCGTGAGTACTTGTAAAACCAAAAAACTCGTGGACTCATGAGTTTCTACTCGCGAGTGACGAGTTTATTGTCCCACGAGTTTGTGCAAATGCGAGTACAGGTCTTCTGGATGACTATACTCGCGAGTTTGACCACGAGTGACTCACGAGTACAATCGTGCTTTTCTCTATGCCAGCCACATGAGCTTCGACATTTCCCTCAGAAGTACCGTTAGTCTCAGCTGTACCTCAACGAGGACAATCCTAAAGATAAAGAATTATGGGATGGAAGAAAACTGAATGAGAGGAAGACATATCTCATGATAATGATACGCAGCCCTAAAAGCTTTGTTCCAATCAATAAAGCCCCAGGAAGCAGCCCTGGGATCATGAGGCAAAGGTGCCCCCTCAGGAATAAGAACCATTTCAACTTCCCCAGTGTTTGAGTTCAGATAGTAGGCAATATGGGGTGGTGTTTTGTCCCCAGTAATACCATTGCAAGCAGAAGAGTTAGAATCGGATGGGTTGGAGTTCAAACCGGGCATATTGGCTGATAGGTTGCCTTGGAGCAAGGTGTTGGCTTATAACTATCAGACTGAATATTTGCTTCCAGCGGATAATTCTTGATTCAGACTAAGATGGTTTCTGTTAGGACGCATATTCCAAGTCACTTTCTGTACTGAATCTGAATATAAATTATTAGTTAAAGATACTTAGACTAATGATACAGTCTTTTACCGGCCAATGAGACAAAAAAGTAAAACCTGGCTTTTATTGTCTCCTCACTTCGTAAATTCTGATTCTGGGTACATAACATGTATTCTACATACTGAAACCTTAGTCTGCCTGAGAATGCATATTTTTTATGGACTGTGAGTGCTCGATCTACTGTTGTCTTCGAAAAAGCAGCATTTGGGACAGAATGTCGCGTGTGACAAAGGTCACAACACATTATTAAGCATCAATTCCCAGGTTTTTGCGTGTTGCATCGTGTTCCTCATTTACTGACCATCGCGTGTTGAAATCTCATTTGTGCACAACAATGGCTGATGACAATCATTCTGGAAGTGGAGAAATGAGGTTGGAAGATGCACTAAAGAAAGGTGAGTCTCCCCATTATCATTTAAAGGAAAAGTCTTTCAAAAGTAACAGCCAATGCTTACATTGCTCACCTGGAGAAAGACAACGAAAATATTCGACGTGAACTTGCCAATCTTCAAGTCAAATACAACAAGCTATCTTCCATGTCAGAGGAAACACTAAAACAATTGATTCTGGAGCACAGGGACAAGGAAGCTTGGCGCAGGCATTTAAATGTAATGATGGAAAGAATGGTTCACGAAAGCACAAAGTTTCTGGAGAACTTGATGTATGACAATGGGCAGATTGGAGTGATGTTGGAGAAAGATAATCCTAATATGCCACTGAGGAAATATTATCATGGAGGTGAAGGACAATGCGTCTATTGCTCAGATTATGGAGATGAAGATAGTATGGATGAAAGTGTAACTACAAGTGATTAAATGTATAGAACTAATTCAGTCTGAGTTTTCATCACTGCTGTCACCATTCAATTCATTTGGACTGTCTTCTTCCGATTCATCCACATCCCCTGTGCCCACAGGTTCTTTTTCAATCTGTTTCCAAAGTTTTGGTATGGGTGGGATGCAATACTCTCGCCATTTTGGCATGAGACCTTGGCACACCTTTTGAGCCTTGTTCCCTTTCCAGACCTTCACCGCTTCTTTCCAGGCCTCCTTTTGCTTCTCGTTCTCTTTTACCCTCTCTTGGTTCAACCTTTTCCACTCAACCTTCATATCAGCAACTGCTTCTCGCATGACCTTTTTATTTTTTGCAGCCTGTTCCTTCTCTTCACATGCCCTTGTGTATTCTTCAACGTGATTAACAAACCCAACACTTGTCAAAAGTCTCAGCATACTATCACCCATCAACCGTCCCATGCCCTTCTTTTTCCAATTGTCCTCCTGAGCCTGAAGTTGTTCATGAAGCCTTCAACAGTAGGTACTATTTAATACCATGCATTGCATGGTGATTGACTGCTCTTTGAGCATTTCGTATTTCTTCAGAAGTGATCGCAGAGCATTTTGGAGATCCTCCTCAAGCACAGTAGAAGGAAGCTGCTTGAGGATGTCGTCGTATTTTGTTTTCCCTTTTGTTGGTGAGAATTGAAAAGGTGTGGCTGAAGGGAATTCTGCTGATGATGACTGGATAGGGGAAGAGTTGACAAGGAAGGAGAGGGATGTACTGCCTAGGTCTGTGAGACCTTGATGGATTGGACTAGTGAACGGGTTTGGAGTCTGTGTTTGGATTTCTGACCCAGATTCGGTACACTTTGATGCTGGAGTGTCAAGCGCTCGAGTTTGGAAAGGTGTTTGGACAGGAGAATGAAGGACACATTGCTGAGTAGGAGTAGATGGAGAGCCGGTTTGGGCTCGTACTCGATGGGTGAGTGGGGATATTTCCATCCTTCGTTTCCAGGACTGATGTGTTACCTCATTGAGCATCCTTGACATTGCAACAACAGGACTTGGTTGTGTGGCAGGCAGTTCTCCCTGACTCGATGTCTCTTTGCTCGGAGCCAACTTGTCAGATACAATGGTAGGGTCATATGGTATCACGCCGGTTACTCGAAAAGCTGTCTTGATGTTTTCTTTTGTAAGTGTTCGTATATGCGCTTCACCGTAAATTTTGAGAAAATTCTTTTTAGTGAGACGTTGGCGAGTCTGTCGGTAGTAGGCGTCACGCTCCTGTGTCCAATTCTGCTTCAAGACTGCAAAAATGACAACGTCAAGGCCCTGATAAACGTGGGTGCCATGTGCTGGGTAGCAAAGTACATGGATACGGTTCTTTCTAGCAAAGCGAAGGAAACCACACGTGTAATGTGAGTTATGCCC